AACACCCATGGCGGTGCGACTCGAACGCTTCCGTCACAGACGCGCGGCCGCCCTTACTCAGACTGACGCCTGGGCTGGACGATTATTACTCGGAGTGGACTCAGGAAATACGAGCTACAACAGGCGTCTGACACAAGAATAATGGCGGTCTGTCTTCAACCCTGGGAGTTCCAAATCACTCGCAAGCCAATCCCGTCCCTTGGGAGCCACGGAATTGGGTCAGTTGGGGGAGTCGGCCAACTCCAATTTGAAGAGAACATCGAAGGCGGCGGACCTTGAGATTGGGATTTCATTTCTGTTCAGTAAGGTCGGTTCAGAACGATACCGAGGAGTTCAGGGTTTAGCCTATGCGAAAGAAAATTATTGGTTGTGCGTCTTGCGACTTGTTGTTACGGGTGCGATGAATCTAAGTAGCGAGAATTGCACTAAGGTGTCAAACGAGTACAAAGATGTGAGCGAAGGCATGAGCGAACATTTATACGCGAAACATGCAAACGGTAACGCGGTGCGTGCGAGCTAGCTAGTGCTATGCTGGCAGCGAGGCTCGGGCTAGTCCCAAAGCGTAGGCCGACACGGCCGGGCCAGCAGTGCGAGGTTTGGCAAAACAGTGCGCGCGAAGTTGGCGAAGTCCCGTTAGCAGTAACGGGCGAACAACAGCTGTTGCTGTACGCGATGTAGTCGGGCTCCGTAAGGAATGCCGAGAAAATTCCTTACACTTGTTCACTTCTGTTCGGTGATATCGGTTGAGAACGTTTCCGAGGAAATCTGAACAGTTATTCCTATTTGCTAAGTATACATATATTTTAGGCGTTAGTCTCAATAAGGGCGTGTTCCTACGGCCTCTTATCAGGCGAATCTCTTGTCAGATTCGCGTCGCACCGCACTGAAACGCGCATAATAACATTCGATCACATTGAATCGCATTGAACTGCACAAGTCTGACAAGAGGTCGCCTGATAAGGGGCTGTAGGAACACGCCCTAAGTATATATTGAACGTACCGAGAGGATGTGATTTAGTGCTTTTGAGCACAGGGGTATTTAATATGCTGTTATATAGGCATCCATAAGAGAATATGGTTATTTGTCAGTGAGCTGCGTTTAGTCTCATGAAAATTTCTCCCCATGTAACTCAAGGTCTGGGTCACTCTCTCCTAGAGCCCTTATGCTAGCGATGCCATAATGGAAGGGCAGGGCAAAACGTGGGGAAGGAGGGACAGAAGGAAACACAGGGAGCGGAAGGAAAGCAAGACATACGAGGCAGGGTGACACGTGGGGAGAGTGGCAGGATAGGAAGGAAGTAGGCAGAGAGACACATGCGGAGTGGGGGAAAAGGAGAGAGGCACGTGGGCACATGGGGAGAGGCAGGAGGACACATGGGCGGAGGCAGGGGGAGATGGAGAGAGGCAGGGGGACACATGGAGAGCAGCAGGGAAAGATGGAGTGAGGAATGAACACGGCGGAAAAGTGGCTAGATGACAAAGGACCGGAGAGCAGGGCATGAGGGGGGCGGGCCTTAAAAGTACCCCCATGGGTTTTGAACTGACTCAAAGCCCCCATCACTGTGGGGAGCAGGGCACAGGAGGGGGCGGACCTTTGAGGCACTCCCATGGAGTCAAGGGCGGGAGAGATTACCCGAACAAGGACTGTGGGGAGGGGGGTCGAAGCAAGGCGTAGGCGAGGGCAGGGTGGGTGGAGGCAGGGGTGTATGGGGGAGAGAAGCAGTTACCCGACAAAGGACTGTGGGGAGGGGGGTCGAAGCAGGGCGTAGGCGAGGGCGGAGGGCACGCCCCAAACAAAGGCATTGAGGAGAAGAACGAGGAGAGGCGTGAGCGGACCGAGAGACAGACCGGCGAGGGACCCTGGCTGCGCATGGGTGGGGGATGGAAAATGGAGTATAGAGCACTCAGTTCGTGTTTTGCAAGAAAATGCACGCATGCACATCAAACAGAGCAACACACGCTTCTTCTCTTTCACTGGAGACACAACGAAAAGCTCCTCACTATCCGCCTTCTATTCGTTAAGTCTCTTGAAGCGGGAACACAAGGCGGAGCTTTTGAGGCACCTAGAGAGGCACGAAACACTTACGGTTTCTTTAAGAAGGAATACAGCCAGGGTCTGCTGCACCAGCCCAGGCCCCAGCCAGCGCCCTTGCAGATTTTTGAGGCGCCTCAAAAAGCTGTGACGACGACCCGTGGGACTTCGATTGGAATACAGCCAGGGTCTGCTGCACCAGCCCAGGCCCCAGCGCCCTTGCAGCTGCCTATCAATTCGACAAAAGGGTAAAAAAAGGTGTCTTTGGGGCACCTCAGCGCCCATAATCCAACACGTACCGTTTCTTTTAGCGGGAATAAAACCAGGAGCTGCACCAGGCCTGGACCCAACGCCCAACGCCCTTGCAGCTGCCTTTTGTCGGCGCTTTTGAGGCACCTCTACGCCCATAGATTAACACCTACCGTTTCTTTGAGCGGGAATACAACTAGGAGCTGCACCAGGCCTGGACCCAACGCCCCTGCAGTTGCGGTGGACACAAGGTGGAGGGCGGAGGGACAGGGGAGTTTGGAGAGGCAAGTAGGAGTGAGAAAAGAGGGAGGAATGGGACGGGATGGACAGGTGCGTGCATGCATGGTGAAGGCACGCCAAGATTCAAAAGAGGCAAAGAAAATTACTTCCATTATTTTCTTGATCACTCTAAGAAGCTCAGAGGTGACAAACGGATGCTAGAAAAGCAGGCGTACCAAAGAGTGCTCCTCTGACGAGCGTGCTTGTGTTGAAGGGAATGAGCAGGATGAAACCCCTGAAGCAACAGGTGAGCGGGCGGAGGACAGAACCACCAGAAGAGATGGGGGTTTGGGGTTTGCCTTGCCTTGACATATCTTTTTGAGGCGCCTAAAAAATCGTCTCAGCTTTTGAGGCGCCTCAAAAAACGAGTGAGCGGGCGGAGGACAGTACCAGCAGAAGAGATGGGTGTTTTCCTTGCCTTGACATATCTTTTGATGGTTTCACAAGAAGACCAGAGTGCTGTGAGATTTCTTTTGAGACGCCTCAAATACCGGCCAGGAGAGAGCCACCACAAGAAAGGGTGCCAACATAAAAAAGAGAGAGAGAAAGAGAGGGGGAATCCAAGAGCGTGTATGTTTCGTGCGTCTTTGAAAGAGTTCTATTGATGCAACAGATGCGGTTGTTTCGGAGAGCGGGGAAGACAGAACGACCGCAAGAGTAGTACGAGGGGCACGTGCGATAGGACTCATTGCGTTCGTGTGAGCAAGGGAGGGGAAAAGGGAAGAGCGGCTCTGTGGTAGCGCATCGGAGAGAAGGAGGCATGGACGAGGGCATGCATGGGGAGCGAGCATGGAGAGCATGGATGAAAGCATGGAGACCGCGGACGGGTAATGACTCGACGCACCAGATTCCACCCCACACGACTTTCTGGTACACGAATGGCGGCGTTAGTTGCGGGTGAATCGCGATGCCGAGAACATCCATGAGTCCCGCCGCCGCAAGCAGCGGCACAGCTAACCCGATGCACAGCCCGCCGATCGCGCCGGACGAGAATGCAACCGCGACGCGAGAAAGACTGGCACGAATTTTCTCAGGAATTGGTAAGGCCATGGCGGAACGCGAGGAGGAGAAAAAGCCGCGGGTTAACGACTATGAAGATCGAGAAACTCGTAGATCTGAAGAGGCAAAAGTTTTCTATCGAAGCAGCAGCGTGCTGATTGGCCCAATGCACAACCCGCCGAGTTCTGCCTGATACGAAAAACTTCTAACGTGGCTCACTCTTTTCGACAGTGACATAACGAAAGGAAAGGGTCTAACTGGCGAAGCGATTGTCATCAACCTGCAGCACGATCATCTGGTTCTGCGTTTGGGATGCGCCTCGTACTTAGGAGGAAGAATCGGCAAGATTCTTCAATCAGCATTTGAGAATTCGGCATTCGTCCTGAAGCGCCAGGGAAGAAAAGACAGTTTCGGGTTCATTTTGACCCAAATTGCATTGTAAAACAAAAGCCAATTTTATAAATTGTTTGCAGTTGACTACCTTGTCGTCCTTCGGGACATCCGTTAAAATTGGAACGATACAGAGAAGATTAGCATGGCCCCTGCGCAAGGATGACACGCACAAATCGAGAAATGGTCCAAATTTTTTCGGTGACCCGACGGAGAATTTCAACCAATCACATCTCGCCGGCGTTCTCGATTCGTCGTTCGGGCAGGATTTTAGGGACACTGCGCTTTTGAGCTGTTACCTGGTAGGGCAGTGTGTCAGAGGTAGTCGAAGTGGTAGCTTCTGATCCTTGAACAGCGCACGGCGGCTGGTCCTTCTAGCAAAGAATGGTGAGATGCATCACAAGGTATCCACTCGCACAGCGTACACGGCCTGCTGTTCCTGATTCGCAGAATATCCTTAAGTATTCCACCTCTCTCCCAACACCCCAGCCCCCCCATGCCCGCGCGGCGCGTGAGCTGGCCACGTAGCCGCGTGAGCTGGCCACGTAGCCGCTTCTTGATGGGTTGCTTTGACTCTTCGAGCGGCGCGATCCGCGTTTTCCTCCTCGCCGTCGCCATCTTCTTGATCGTTACCACTCCGACCACGCTAAGCGAAAGTGATAAAAGCGAAAGCAGGAGCGGCAGCATAGACAGCAGAGGCAGCAGAAGCAGCAGCGAGGGCAGCGAGAGCAGCGCGAGCAGCGCGATCGACGACGTAGATGTTTTTCAGACGCGTTTGGGAAAACGTGGGTTCGAGCACGTAGGTGATACAGGGAGTAGTCTAGAAGATGTTGGTGATGACGGTGATGGGCTAGTAGAGCTCTTTACCCACGAAGGTAACTCTAGGCATGGAGCAGACGACGATTCGGATCAGCTGCTTGGGTATCATGAGCGGGATGGTGGTGTGACTGATTATAACGAGGATGATGGTGTTGTCGATGATCTTGATATCAATGAGGACAATGATGATAATGTGGATGGTGATTTTGAAGTGGGGTTATTTGAGGATGGAATGGAGCATGTACCCGAGGAGGAGGGAGAGTTTGACGAGCACGATAACGAGTCTCCTTTTGATGAGGACGTTGATTTGGAGGGCTGGGATGACGCGGATGATGGCGTGGGTGATGACGTGGTTGGCGCTGACGTGGATGAGGGCACGGATTACACAGAAGGTTGGGGTGATTCTGCCAATGAGGATGAGGATGAGACTGAGGAGGATCATGAAAATGAGGAAGACCATGGGGAGGAGGAAGAGATTGAAGATGGTGATGGGCAGTTTGGTACAGAGGATGATGATGATGAGGATGAGGATTATGATAATGAATCAGATCACGGTTCGGGATCCGATTGGGATTCGATACCGGAAATAGATCCGGATTTTGATCTGGGCAGCATTTTTGCGTACGAGAGGGAAGGTTCCGCGATGGTGCCGCTGCCAGAGAGGGAAGCGCGATTGGTGGACGCGTTGCTGACGTGGATGGAGAAGCATGGGGACCAATCGGTGGAAGGGGGTGTACGATCGAAGATCCAGGTGAGACTCAATCGATGTCCTTCGATTCGAAGTAGCTTTTTTGTTCGTTATTACTTTCCTGCTCCTGTATTACTATTCAATATCTCCCTTCCCTTCCTCACCCTCATTTCGCCTCCTCCCCCTCCCTGCTTCCACACCTTCTCCCTCCCCACTTCCCCACACGTCTCCCCAGGTCCTAGCCATTTCCTCTCCTGCCTTCTACTCCTGCGCGCCCCCCTTTCCCCCGCTCCCCCCGCGCCTCCCCCTGGGCATCCTAGCCTCCGCCACCACCCCCGCTGGCTCCCCCCTCGCCTCCATCCCCTTCCCCCTCTGGCTCTCCCGACTGCACGGGGGGTGGGATTTCCGCACCAACCGCCCCGCCCCTCCCCCGCCCGCCCCTTACAAGCACGCTGGCGACGATGTGACTGTAGCCGCGTGGCTGTTAAGAGAGTGGAGGAAGGGTAAGGAGTCTTTTTACTCCCCGTGGATTAATCTCCTGCCGGGGTATGTGCCGCTGCCGATTTTCTGGGATGAGGCGATGCTGGGGGAGCTGGATAGTGGGGAGGCTATAGAGAGAGTAGAGGAGGCGATTAGGTATGTTGAGGAGGCGTTTTCTCTTTGTTCTGATGAGAGTATCGCGGGTGCTTCTATGGATGAATTCAAATGGGCGGTTGCGATCGTGTGGTCGCGATCCGTGCCGATCTCGGCCGTTGGTTTGAAGAGAAGGGGGAAAAGGGGGAGGAGGAAAAGGAGGGGGGGAGGAGGGAAGGGAGAGCAGGAGGAGGAGGATGAGGAGGAGTTTTGGCAGTATATGGAGGAGGCGGAGAGGGAGGATGAGGAGGGAGAGGGGGAGGGAGGGGAGGGGGCGGAAGGGGAGGAGGTGCACATGCTGCTGCCGCTGCTGGATCTCTTCAACCATGAGTTCTACTACACGGCAGACTGGCAGGTACGGGCAGGTTCTGGAAGGTTCAAGCAGGTACTGTGAGGTTCAGGTGGGTGAGCGTGCTGTGAGGTAAGGGGGAGGAGGTGCACATTGTGCTGCCGCTGGTGGATCTCTTCAACCACGAGTTCTACTACATGGCAGACTGGCAGGTGCGGATGGGTACATGCAGGTGCTTACAGGTTCAGGTGGGTGAGCAACCCCTCCCGAATCTCTTCAACCACGAGTTCTACTACACGGCAGACTGGCAGCTGCCGATGGGTACGGGCAGGTATGGCCTGGTTCAAGCAGGTACAGGCAGTCATGTGCAGGTTCAGGCAGGTTCAGGCAGGTTCGAGCACTGAGAAAGATTTGCAGGTGAAAGAGTTCTCTTGGTAGTCACTCAGACACGACCTTACCTGCCTGGCCAACTGCCATATCCCCTCCCGCTTACTCTCCCTCCTTCCTCCTTTCACTCCCTCTCCCTTCTGTCCACTACCATCAATGGCTGATACTATTCCTCTCTTGTAAACCACCCTCTCCTCCTCTTCTAATTACTTCCTCCTTCCCCCCCCCCCCCCTATCCCTTTCGCCACGTCAGCCCACTATCCACTCCTCCACTGCTGACATCAACATCTTTGCTGCTGACGTCATCTCTCCAGGCCAGCCAATCAGCGTGGGCTATGGGTCCATGGACACCGCCCAGTTCCTGCTGCTGTACGGCTTCGTGCCGCCCAACAACCCGTTTGACCGGTTCGTCCTTTTTGAAAACGCCGATGCACTTCTTGACTACTACGAGACGAAATATCTTGCTGCCACGTCAGGAGGATCAATGGGAGATAAAGACACATCAGGAGCAGAAGGGACGGAGGGAGGAGGAGAAGGAGGAGGAGGAGGAGGAGGAGGAGGAGGAGGAGGAGGAGGAGGAGGAGGAGGAGGAGGAGGAGGAGGAGGAGGAGGAGGAGGAGGAGGAGGAGGAGGAGGAGGAGGAGGAGGAGGAGGAGGGGCAGCAGCAGAAACAACGGGTTCTGATGCTGGTACTGTAGCTGGAACTGATGTTAATAATGAATCAGACTATACTGAGAAATACCCGTGGCTGACTAGTTCGTTCGACCGGGACTCGGCTGCAGCTTCGGTAACCGCCGCCATAGCTGCGGTGGAGGCTCGGCAGGCGGACTACACAGCCGAGCACGACTTGGATCGGCAGCTGCTAGGCATGGCAGCAGGGGCGGTGGCAGGTTCGGAAGCACTAGCAATAGGCAGGGAGGGGTATGTGGATGCACGGCTGCTAGCTGCTCTGGCTGCTATCGGCATGCCAACACATGGTGAGTGAAAAGTCACTTGACCTTGTTAGCAGCTCTCATAACACATGGTAACTTACTCTGATAGGCAGGGAGGGGTATGTGGATACACGGACTCTGGCTGCTCTGGCTGCCATTGGCATGACTTCACATGGCGAGTGAAGGCTCTAGCATACAGGCTGCTATGTGGGAGTCGCTTTTGAGAATTCTAAAAAGTGAATCCCTCTAGCATGCAGGCTGCTCTGTGGGAGTCGCTTTTGAGAGTTCTCAAAAGTGACTCCCTCTAGCATGCAGGCTGCTTTGGCTGCTCTGGGCATGGCATGTCACGTGCAGGCTGCAGCACGCTCAAGCAGCAGCGCATACACCACCTTATCTTTCTAGCACTCTTTTGAGGCGCCTCAAAAGTTGAATACACCACCTTATCTTTCTAGCACTCTTTTGAGGCGCCTCAAAAGTCGAATACACCACCTTATCTTTCTAGCACTCCCCTCTGTCACGTCACCCCCTCCCCTTCCCCGCCACCCCTTCAGACCCTGCCTTTGACTTTCGTGCTTTAGCCAGGACCATTCTGTGCGTAGTGTTTCGAACAGGGTCACCGGATGCACCCTCAAGCAGCACGCAGCACAAGACACCCCACTTTCTCGTTTCAACTCACCCCTCTGTCCCGTCACCCCCCTTCCCTCTCGAGACAGGGTCACCGGATGCACCCTCAAGCAGCACGCAGCACAAGACACCCCACTTTCTCTTTTCAACTCACCCCTCTGTCACGTCCCTCTCCTTTCCCACCGCCCCTTCAGACCCTGCCTTTGACTTCCATGCCTTATCCCAGACCATTCTGCGCCTTGTGTTTCGAGACGGTGTCACCTGTGGCAGTACGCTGAAACAATCCGTGATTCTTCTTTGCTCCCTTCCCCCTCTCTTCCCGCCGCCCCTTCAGACCCTGCCTTGGCCAGGACCATTCTGCGCCTTGTGTTTCGAGATGGTGTCACCTGTGGCATTCTCAAGGACCGAGAAATCATACCTTTTCTTGTGCTTTCTCTCCCTGTGTTCTCCACTCCCCAGACCCTGCCTTTGAATTCCAAGTGCTGGCCGAGACCATTCTACGCTTTGTGTTTCGAGACGGGATCACCTGTGGCACTCTTAAGCAATCCGTGATTCTTCTTTGCTCCCTTCCCCCTCTCTTCCCTCCACCCCTTCAGACCCTGCGTTTGATTTCCATGTCTTAGCCGAGTCCATTCTTCGCCTTGTGTTTCGAGACGGTGTCACCTGTGGCACTCTCAAGCAACAGCAGACATATCACCTGGCCGTCTTAGAAGCAGCAGGAGCGGAGGGCGCAGCAGGAGGGGAGGGAGTAGAAGGAGGGGAGGGAGTAGAAGGAGGGAAGGAAGCAGCAGGGGCAGGGGAGGGTAGTGGTAAAGACAGACCACACAGTAAGGCAGTGGAGGCAGCTGCACGCTCAGCAATGCTTGCAGGCTCCATCGTACGAGCTGCTGACGTGTTACGTAACATTCTGCGCGCCACACTACCCGGATTCAAGAGCACGTTCACAGAGGATTATAACCTGTTAACGAAGACGCTTGTAGAGGATGCATCGTGTGACATGGGAGACCGGGGAAGGAGAGGCAACAGTGGTGGTAGCAGTAGGAGCAGCAGTAGGGACAACAGCGGCAGCGGTGGGGGTGACTGGAGGGAAGAAGATGTGGGGGAAAGTGAAGGGGCATGTGGGGTCCCTATGTTGCAACTCCCAGAGGAGAAGGTTCAGGCTATTAAGTTCCGGCTCTCAGCTAAGCAACTGCTATTGCGGGCACTTAGCTTCTTAGAAGATGTGTGTCCAGAAGAGGGAATGTATGATGCTGATTATGCTACCGAGTCAGATATTACAGAGGATGACAATGCCAGTAGTGATAGTGATTGATATCATGTATACTGAGTCTTGCTAACATAGGTAGACCTTACTTCTGAATCGCCAAAGGGAAAAGAGCATTGGAGTGGAAACAGTACTGTGTATAGTGTGTATCATTCTAGCCCACAACTGATTTGGCAAGACAGATTGGATAAATGAGGCTGTGAAGGAGCAGGGAATGTGTATAACGGGTAGATACATGTATGTTAATAATACGTTATGCACAAATCCAGCCGCAGCAGGACGGAAACCATGGTCAACAATTAAACTGGGCATTGGGCACGGGGTCAATCACCCAGCTAGGCACTGGGCTTGGGTTCCTTTGCCTTGACAATGATCACCGGGCATGCACTGGCAGGAGGGGAGATGGGGCGGAGGGGACAGAGGGGCAGAGGGGGCAGAGGGAGCAGATGAGCAGATGGAGCATGAGGTCAAACACCGAGTTAAGCACTGGGCTTGGGTTCCTTTGCCTTGACAATGATCACCGGGCATGCACTGCGGGAGAGAAGGCAATAAGGCAGGGAGAGCGCAGAGGGAGCAGAGGAAGCAGAGTGGGCAGAGGGGACAGACAGGGCAGAGGGGACAGAGGAAGGAATAGGGAGAAGCAATTAGGAACAGTCAGTGTAAGCCATATGGCATGCAGGAACAGGGGAAGTGTTTGACTGAAATCCAAGCACACATAGGCATGGGGCATCCGGCATCAGGCGTGGGGCGTGGGGCATGCGGCATGGGGCATGCAGCACCAGGAAGAGTGTTGAATGCATTCCAAGCATACATAGGCGTGAGGCATGGGGCATGGGGCATGGTGCATGGAGAATGGGGCATGGGGCATGGGGCATGGGCGATGGGGCATGGGCGATGGGGCATGGGCGATGTCCCGCTCACCAAGTGCCGCACCCACTCACGATCATCACAGCAACAACTGGCAACAACTGTGGCACCAGGAGGAGTGCCATAATGGCACCAGGAGTGCCATAATGGACCCACCCACTTTTAAGAATTCTCGAAAGTGACCCACCCACCTGTGGTGCGCACAATACTCGCTGACAGATCCAAGCAAAGCTCTGCAGGTACAGGGAGAGAAAGAGAGAGGGGGAGAGGAGATAGGCACTCGCGTTTACAAGTTACCGACATGACACATGCATGGAAAAAATGTTGCATGTCAGTCAGCACGTCAGCACACACTTGCATCACCTCCCTGCATATCACCTCTCGCTCGTCCCATCACCTTACCGCTCCGCTCTGGTGAGAAGCTCCCTCTCACCAGAGCGTAAGGCCAGCCAGAGGGAGCCGCCAGAGGGAGCTTCTCACCAGAGCTTGTCATTCCTTCCTCCCGACTCATCTCCTCACAGGTGACAGCCTCTGCACGCCCACTATCAGCACGTCTGCACACACGCATCACTGCCCTGGAAATCCCCCCCCTGAAAACCACCTCCCCCCAGAACATCTCTTGCTCGTCCCATTCCATACATTATCACACTCACACCCGCACCTCCCCGGGGCTCACTTCTTAACAGGCGACAGCCCCCGTGTGCTGACTATCAGCACGTCTGCACACACTCAGTCAGACGCATCAGGTGTATTCACAAGACTCATTCCTCACGAATCACTCCCCGGGGCTCACTTCTTAACAGGCGACAGCCCCCGTGTGCCGACTATGAGCACGTCTGCACACACACGCATCACCTCCCTGCAGATCGCCTCGCGCTCGTCCCCCACCGCTATCTTCCAGTCACAGTCCAGCTGCACGCAGATTGTGGGTGGGGGGGGGAGGAGGGGGAGAATGGGGAAGCTTTTGAGGCGCCTCAAGAATCACCTCCCTGCAGATCACCTCGCGCTCGTCCCCCACCGCTATCTTCTAGTCACAGTCCAACTGGTGAGCAAACCAAGGGGCAGGGGGGGAGGCAGGAGGTGGGGAGGGGAGGGGAGAGAACGGGAAGCAACAGAGAAAAGCCACTGTGATAAGGCAAGGGTATGGGAGAGTGGCAAAGGACAAGAGCAGGAAGAGGTGATGCATGGGAGAGAAGATTTGCATGGGAGAGAAGATTTGCATGGGAGAGAAGATTTGCATGGGAGAGAAGATTTGCATGGGAGAGAAGATTTGCATGGGAGAGAAGATTTGCATGGGAGAGAAGATTTGCATGGGAGAGAAGATTTGCATGGGAGAGAAGATTTGCATGGGTCTTTGAGGTAGGTAGGGTGACATGCATGCTCGTCCGTTGCTGTCCTCCCATCAGAAAAGAACACCCTAGTAGAACATAATCCAGAAGCTACATACATGGATGCACTCATCCGGTACAAGCGCACTCACATCCGTTATAAGCACAATCACGTCCACCGCAGCGCGCTTCTTCAACCTAAACGCGTCAACTTACGTACTCACATCCGCTATAAGCGCACTCACATTTGCTACAGCACATTTCTTCATGTACTTCTCCAGTATGGCACACGCAGCTGCCTCTGTTATAAGCGCACTCAAACCCCATGTAAGCGCACTCAAACCCCATATAAGCGCACTCAAACCCCATATAAGCGCACTCAAACCCCATATAAGCGCACTCAAACCCCATATAAGCGCACTCAAACCCCATATAAGCGCACTCACATCCGCCACAGCGCATTTCTTCATGTACTTCTCCACTATTGCACGCGCAGCTGCCTCTGCCTGCGCCTCCAACGTTGCTATGGCGTCCGCTGGGAGCTTGCCCACCATGTCTGGGGGGAGAGAGGGGGGGGAAGACGGGGAGAGCAAGGGGGAACGAAGAGCAGTCTGAGATGCCTCTGCCTGCGCCTCCAATGTTGCTATGGCGTCCGCTGGGAGCTTGCCTGCCATGAATGGAGGAAGAGGAGAGGGGAGCGTAGGGGGAGGTGGGGGAGGAAAGGGAAGAGAAGGAAACAATGTCTTAGTGTATGAAATGGCAAGCCTGCCTGCCTGCTGCTCTGTTCCAACGTTGCTATGACGTCTGCTGGGAGCTTGCCCACTGTGTCTGAGGGGAGAAAGAGGGGGGGAGGAGAAAAAAAAAGAGGGAAGAGTGGCTTATTGCCTGAGTGCCTGAGCTGGTATGCCTGAGTGAGTGCTGTTCCAACATCACTATAGCGCATGCAGCTGCCTCCGCCTGTGCCTCCAGCGTTGCTATGGCGTCCGCTGGGAGCTTGCCTGCCATGTCTGGGGGGAGAGGGGGAAAAGGGGGGGAGGGAAAAGGGAGGAAAGGGTTGGGGAAGGGGGAACAAGAGGAAAGTAAAGAAACAAGAACCTCGACGGCCCTGACCGGCTGTTGTGTTGTACCACCCTTCGTCTCACCGTCTTTTGAGACGCGTTTTGAGATGTCTCAAAACGCTTCTTCATACACGTGGAAAGTAAAGAAACAAGAACCTAGACGCCCCTGACCGGCTGTTCTTCTATTCTACCACCCTTGGTCTCACCGTTTCCTTTCCTCCGCTCTCGTAACGTTGCTTACCGTCAAATGACTTGCGCACGTGAATGAGGCGCACATGATCCTGGGCCTTGCAGTAATTCCTCAACGCCCAGTTAAACGCCAGCTCTGAACCTGCAGGGTGAGAGAGAAAGGCAGGGAGGGAGGGAAGGACGTGAATTCCTTCTATTGAAATGCTCCTCACAGGGCTGTGCACGTGCAGTAATTCCTCAACGCCCAGTTGAACGCCAGCTCTGAACCTGCAGGGCGAGAGAGGAAGGCAGGGAGGGATACGGTGCGGACAGGGAGAGCACGATTACAGTCAGCTACGCACGCGCATGAGGTCCTTAAAGCCCCAAAAAAACGCGAGCTTTGAGCCTGCAAATGTGGAAGAGGCAGGGAGTTATGCTAGATAGACAGGGAGAGCACGCTGAGAGTCAGGTGAGGTGTCCATGCGGGGCAGAGGGGTGAGACGGACAGAGAGGAGAGAGCGTTGGCAGTTGGTGAGCGTGAGAGAGGGAGGGGGGGACAGAGAGAACGGCGCAGAGAGTACTGTCGGGCGATGCGCAGAGGGTGCGAGTGAGGGAGGCAGCATCGCCCGACAGTGCGCAGAGCGTGCGAGCTTGCTGCAGCACGTGAGTCCGCTTGGCTGACGACGCGAGCGTGAGAGAGAGGGCGGCAGTGCGCAGGTGATGTGAATTGGGCAGATGACGCGACTTGGTCGTTGAAGGGAAGAGAGTGAGAGAGGGAGGGAGGGAAGAGAGTGAGGGAGGGAGGGAGGGGGGAAGGGAGGGAGGGAGGGAGGGAGGGAGGGAGGGAGGGAGGGAGGGAGGGAGGGAGGGAGGGAGGGAGGGAGGGAGGGAGGGAGGGAGGGAGGGAGGGAGGGAGGGAGGGAGGGAGGGAGGGAGGGAGGGAGGGAGGGAGGGAGGGAGGGAGGGAGAGAGGGAGGGAGGGAGGGAGGGAGGGAGGGAGGGAGGGAGGGAGGGAGGGAGAGAGGGAGGGAGGGAGGGAGGGAGGGAGGGTGGAAACTGAGGAAGGACGAGAGGAGGATCGTGAAAGGACGGTTGGAGAAGAAGAAGAAACAGGGGGGAGATGAGCGTGAGTGAACATGCGCGTGTGCTTGTATGTGGGTCTGGGTGCTTGCATGTGTGTGTGTACGTGTGTGCGTGCGTGTGTGATAGAAAGCAGGAAAGTAGTGATTGCGACGTACACTCGCTTCCATCCACCGCTATAAGCACCTCCCGCTGTTCACTCGTTAGTAGCTGCTCCATCGTTAGAAACTGCTGTTTCCAACTCCTGTTTCAAATCCTGTTGCAACTCTTGTTTCAACTCCCGCTTCAACTCCTCTTGCTCCTACGGCTGTAGCACAACCCACAGCTACACTTCAGAAATCTGAAACTTGCTAAAGCCGGCAACTACAGCCGTAGATACGACAACGCCAACCGTCGCTACAGCCGTGGGATCGACCGAGTAGAAGCCGACGAGTCGACTGGTGGCACCGTTGCTACAGCCGAAGCGGCCGCGCCGCTACAGCCGCCGGTCGATACAACCACCGCGGATGCAAACTTGTGTGACCCGGGCCAAGGTGTACAGCTCGAAAACACCCTGAAAACTAGGCCTAGATAATGGAACTCATGTTGGATGTGGAAGACCAAAACTTTGCTCTAAGCTGGTTCACTGCGTCCGTAATTGTATCAGATTCGTCTTGTCTCAAAGCTTATTGACTCTAAAGACTATATTGAATAGGAAATCCAAGGCAGAACCTATGCACAAGTATCGTACACGTACCAAGCGTGGCGGTAATACGTGACCAATAAGCCACTACTGTAATAGCAATGCACTATAAGCGTCAGGCGGTGTCGGTTCTGCCTTTGGCGAAGGAAGTCAAGTCACTGAGTTGCCTCTTGCTGCGAGTTCCTATTTGATCGAAGGCAAGCTCAAGGTTCAATGGATATGGCTGCTCGCAAAGGAACGTGTGCACCGACAAAGCAAACCCCGTAATCGCACAGTGACTGAAACTTACAATGAACAGTTGTCACGTCCTGCAACAACAGGTGTTTCTCCTTTTCTACACTAGCAAGGGAATGATCCTTTATCAATTACACTTTCACTACATTTTGAAACCAAATATCTCCATCAGACAGCAGAACCGTCGTATTACTGTCACATTTCGCTTAAAAAACATTTATAGTTTTTTATCACGTTATACCCTCTATCATATACCATATAAGTATAAAAACTGAGAGAATGTTTCTATATGGTATTGTAAACTGTGTTTTGAATCCTTTATTGTCTTTATGTATATCATAGGAAATGTTATGTGTGGCATCACGTACCGTATGTTGCATTGGCAATAGAGATGTTTTCCTAGAACATTTTCCTTACACTTCATTTCGTGGCAGATTTGTATCGCACTTTCTAACACCCGATTTCAGTGTTTTTTTCCGTGGCATCCGAGGTGGCGGCGGCAAAGTTTGGCCTGCAAAGTTTCGCACATGCGAAGCATGTCTGACACTGTAACCAGAGCTGCGTCACGACACGAGCAAAACCCTAAACGTTCGGCCTTTCTGTTGTTGATGTTTGCTTGGTTCAGGAGGATTGATCGAGGCTCAACCACGCCTGTGATTGGGTGCTTGCTTCCGCCAAATCCCCGTTATGGCTCGATAGCCCACACATGATCCATACTTCTTTGCCCGTCGGTCAGGGGCTGCCCGTAAATTAGAAAGGTGTTTCGGGAGGACGCGTGATCAGCACGAAGCTGACATCATACAGCAGAAAGACCCGTCACTTTGGCGATCGCAAACGTCGCGGTCAGTGAAATGGCTATCAGAAACTTACCGTCTGACCGACATCTTCCAGACAAGGTCAGGTCACCATCAGTATCGCCACATGCTTTCCCAAGACCTCCGCAAAACGGTCCCCCGAACCTTTTCCGCACCACGCGCTCCCTTTCGCGGTTCAGTTGCTCCGCTGCTCTCAGCACGGCGGAACGCGCGGGGCACTGTCTAGCGCCAGCAGGGCGGAGATGACTGACAGAGCATGACGGAGAGCGAACAAAGATAGCTACACGAGGGATGCGAGGAAAACTTGACAGAGAGCCGAACAGCAGTGCTGTGCTGAGCAAGCCAAAGCAGTGGGAGCGTTTGGGAAGAATCTAGGTTTTCTTTGGCTGGTGCTGTGTGGCTCCCTTGTTGCCATTGCAACAACCCTAGAGAACCTCGGGAACCTCACGGTCCGTAATTCGCGGCATTGCAACCTCAACCTTTGTGTCTGCACAGTAAGAGCACGTTCGATTTAGGGTAATTGCTGCTGCGTGCTAGCTCTGTGCAGGCGGCATTCTTCGTAGAACTGATTGATTAGTTCGAAGTTGGTCTCCTGAAACCGAATCCTGTTTTTCGTGTCCTTCCAGACGACCTTTTAGGTTCCGTGTTTTTCTCCGTCGTAAGCTTAGGACAACCACACCGTGTTGCCTGACTAACTCTTCGCTAACAACAGCACTTTTGTATCTCGCTTCTTGCTGCAGCCTTTCCTGCAAGTTCTATCGCGAAAATGCCGCCGCCAGTCGCGCCCGCCGTGCCAGCCGCGGGTCATTCTCTGCATGATATCGAGGGAGTTTGTGACTATTGCGGAGAGCCGTGCGATAGTACGCAGGACGAGCTTAACGCGCTTTCGTGCACGTTCGAAGGATGCGCGAGCTCAGGCGTGTACCATCAACACTGCATCGAGGCGTTTTTAAAGAGCATCCGTCTGGACAAGTATGGTTCTTAAAACTCACGCCTTTAGTTACCTCCTCGCTGCAGCCGGTTCTGGTCAGAAAATGGTAGATCGATAGATGGGATGAATTTTTGCAGTAGCTGTGAAAAATCACTGTAGTTACAGGGTAGAAACTTCCGAATAGAAACCACGCTTCCTCCGGGGTCAATGCTTTTTCCAGTTTCGCCTTCTTTTGAATGTCCTCCAAGGTTGTAAGGACAGCGTTCCGTCTCTCTCCGTCAAGTTCTTTGGCGCTCAACGGGAAGTATTTGAGCGCATCGTGCTGGCGTGGTTTAGAATCCTCTTGTTGATCCTCTTTGATTTAGTTTCAAGTTTTCCATCTCGGCTCACTAAGGGATGTTACAAGCTGTGCAGCAAGCATTAGGCGATTCCAACGTATAGCAGTATATAGCAACCAGTTATCTGGTATCTGAAGGCCAATTCTTGGCGACGCAGCAATTGTCTTGGAAAAACCTTCGAAATATGAAGAATCGCTACTTTAAACTTAACACCATCTATCTCAAGCGTCTAGTAGCCTCCGTAGTTCATCCATCCTTTTCATAACTCCGCGTATTCCTCTACTTTGTTTTTGTTTCCACCAATCCTTTAATCACCCCGTGATGACCTCACCATGACAATTCTTACGTGTCCTTTCGCCTTTGCTCATTGTGACGCAGGCAACGAAAGACGGGCTTCCAATGTCCACGTGGCAATGGCAAAGCGACGAAGTTCGACAAGCCGTGTCCTGGACGTGTAGGTTTCTCCTTACATTTTTCTTTCTTGCCATGGATCGCACCCTGTATGTTCTTGTTTTTTCGTAGCCTTTTTTTTCACTAAACTAGTTTCACGAATTAGCGTCAGGCGATCTTGTTCTTTGTTTATCTTCACCTTCTTCTTGGACCGAGTGTTGATTTTCTTTTTTTTTTCATGGCTCATGCACTCATCTGCGTGCTCTCCTTCATTTGCTAATACCAATACCCTTCCCTCCATGCGTGTTCCGTTGTTCCACTCCTCCATCTCTTTCATCTGATACCTCATGCGTCTCTTGCCTCGTGCGGCTAATGCCTTCGTCCTGCCTTGTGTCTCGTGTCTTTCATCCGTTTGCTCATCCCCCCGGCTCTCCTTGCGTTTCCCTCTCATCGTGGCATTCCTGTGTTTCCAGATCACCAAGTCCCACCCGATTCATGCTCGGAACGAAAACAGGTGCAACATCTCCTTGCACACCCTTTCCTTCCTTTCTCCCCCGTATCCGCGCGTTTCAAACGCCGCAACGAAGTTATTCTGCAAGCAAATGCGTGCGGATGCGTTCATTTTCCGCCGTCTCTGCCTGCGCTGTGTTCCTGTCCACTAGAAACTTTGTGCGAGAAAAGTTGTGCGTAGCTTTCCCGTTTGCCTCCCTGCTTTCCTTATTATTTCGTGTTCATGGCCCATCTCCTCGACTCATCCCTCCTCCGCTTCAGCCGGCCCTGTAATTAGGCCTCGACTCATACCTCCTCCGCTTCAGCCGGCCCTTTAATTAGGCATTCTAAGAAACACCGGCATACTAAGACATACAGTTCTTTGTTTCGTCACCTCTTTCACTTCTTCCTCCCGCGCTCCCTCCGTTCTCCCCTCTCTCCGTTGCAGCAAGAAGCGGCGAAAGGCCAAGATGCCCGAGCCTCCGCCAGTCCCTGTGGGAGCTGCGGCGAAGAAGGGCGGCAAAGCCAAGGACGACAAAAAAACCGACAGTAAAGCCAGCGACGGCAAAAAAGAAGGAAAAACCGGCGATAGCAAAAAGGACGGCAAGTCAGGCGATAGTAAAAAGGAGGGGAAAACAGGCGACGGCAGCAAGTCGAAAGGATCATTCTCCGTGCCCTCCTCGTCCTCCAAATCTTCCACCTCGTTACCCGCTGCTCCCGCGCCAAAGCCTACGGTCGCGCTGCTCGTGCGCTCGTCTCTGCCCCCCGCTGCCAAGGCTGCCGCATCCGTGGCTAAGTCCGCGTCTGGTGGGGCCGGCCCCACGTCCCCGTCGTCTAAAAGCGGGGGTATAGGCGCGCCTGGTGGGGGTAGTGGGAGTGGGGGAGTGCCGGTGAAGGTTTTGTCTAAGTCCTGGAGTGCTGCTGCTGCGGGGTTGAAGGATGCGGCAGCAGCAGCCGTTGGGGCTGTGAGCAGCAGCAGCAGTAGTGGTGGCGGTGGGAGTGGAGGGAGCGGGCCTGTGAATGCGTGGTCGTCGTCGCCTGGCATCGTGTCCGGACCGTCCAAAGGAAAGGCCTCGGAGGTGAGTTGTGTGAGCGTTGTTTCCTTAGCCATTAGGTTGTGTTGGGACCAGCGACAGTATCGGGGACAGTAGGGGTGGTGGGGGTGGCGGGAGCGGGCCC